AGGCAAGATGAAAGCCTTGAATTTTTTATTTTGAAGCAATTTCATTAAAATAATTTCCACATCAAATATGCAGAGACTTTTAATTTCAGGAGGAGAAAACCTTTTCCTCTTATTTTTCCAGGAAATAATCCTAGTGTTCACTAATCTTGCATTTTATCAAAAATACACTGTAAGAACTGAGGTACTATTGTGATGCTCATGTCTGCTAATGAAATGTTGGGGCTTTCACATATATCAGCAGATCTGGAACTAAACACAATGAGCTAATCTCCTGCTGAGATAATTTTCAGCACTGTATCCTCTACCCACAACACATCCAGGTCTCATCAGCTGCTCCCAATACTGATTACATGGGTTTACATGAACTCATGGTAGGCAGTCAACATAAAATTTTGAACATTTCTCTAAAGTATGGAAGACTACATTAACAACTTACTCTACTAAGTAACAACAAGGGAACACCAGTATGCTCTGTGCCAACTATGATAACCAGGCCAGAGAAATTGGCAGCGCATTAGTGGCCCAGTCCAAAAAACCAGATGGAGACTATCTGAAGGTGAATTCTCCTTTCTCCTGACTCTGAGGCTGTACAAACAGTTTGAGTTTCAGGCTTATGGTCTGTTTCCATGTTTTCACTGAATTTATTTTGTATATTGACTTCCTGACTACGCTCCTTGTGAAATGTCCGTATTTTCAAGTTGCTCTGTCTTGGACTCCAACTATAATCCTCACCAACAAATTTTAATCATTACAGTATGGGTAGACTGTCTCATTACACAGCCTACTCTGGTTTATCCATAGTGGATTTTCATGGAAACACAGAAGAAGAGCAGTTTTCTCAGAAACGGAATAATGAGACCACATCCAGGTTTTACATCTGTGTTACCAGGTCAAGGAGGTACACATTAATGCCTCTCTTCCCCCCATCACTACCCAGAAGTCCAGCGATGGTAAGCAATACCACCACAAGGTCAATATGCAAAATTCTCACTGTTTCACTGCACCATGGAGATACTGCATATCAGCCTCCAACTCACGAGCATAACATGCTTTCAACGATGCCCAGATGCTCTGCAAATCTTAGCACCTGCTATCGAAGTCACCTACAATGTGTGCCGCAAATTACATGAAAAAATACAGCTCTCGACACATTATTATAAGAACATGCGGCACCACCTACGGAGGAAAAATCCAAAGTTCTTTAATGGTTGGGAAAATATTGCCCTTTGACTGCAAAACCAATCAACAATTTTGGTGGAATCTTGTCCTGGGTGACTGGCAGCACCCTGGCACAAAAAAGTCTCACTGCACCTGTAAATAAAGTTCCTTGCCTTATGTTTTTCTGCATTAGTCCCTTCTTTCTAAGAAGAAACATAGATACAGTAGGGGTTGGCAAACATCCTCTATACAAATATTACACAAATACAATGAAATAGTAAGAGGGCAACTGAAGCAAGCAGAAACACTCTTAAGATTTCACAGTCACTGCATAGCTTTTAAATGTCTCTCCTTAGGTGAATTATGTAACACAGATGTTGAAGTGAATTGCAACTCTCAGTCCATAGTGATGAGATTCACAAAAAAAGTTAGGCTGTCTGCTGTTTGCTTCCTGATCATTATGGATATAATAAATAGCAGATGTTTGTAACTAAAACCCACACACCTCTGAAAATTTTGCCAACACATCAAACTACATTTCTTGAATCCCCCATAAGATTTATTTCTAGATGTTCTATTTTTACTTCATCAATTGAAATTCAAAAGAACAAGGGCAGTGACCATAAAAACAACTTCAAGATGATAATGTTGCTGAAAGCAACCTTCAGAGTATATTATTCACCTCACCATGTACAAAGAACTCAATCCTTCCCAATTGTAAAGACTTGATGTAATCTACTCATGATGCATATGAAAAGAATTTGCAAGCTTGGTTTTGTTCATATTTGAAAGAAGTAGGATTTTTTCTATAACAAACTTAACCAGTCTGAAAAACAGTATATGAAGCTTTTGAGTGGGCTGTAATACTTAAAAAAGAAATCATTATGTTAGATTACTTCCATAGGTGTTTTATGATTTTGCTTAACTCATGCCTTTCAGAAACTTTTTTACAAGTTATCAGAAGAGACCACTTTTTCCTTCATTTTAAGACTAAAGTCTAGAGCATCAACTGAACATACTTTTTGCCATAGGTAAAAGCAAATTATTTTTTACTGCCCCACATAAGCTTTTTAGATGCATATGTCCAAAAAAAAAAAAAAAACCCAAAAAAAGAGCTCTAATCAAAACACAGAAATAATGGTCCTCATCAATTCTTGCATATGCAGAAGAATCACTGCACTAAAAATCTTAGCAAGTGCCTGCCAAGCAGAGCTCTTATACTCTGAAAATTTCACTTATTTAAGAAGAAATGTAATGATCACAGGATTAACTCTAACACCATGTCACGAGTGAGAAAAGACTGTAAGTGTTCTAGAGTTATACTCTTGCTTATGGAAAGAATTTTAAAGGATTTCTAGAAGCAATCATGAAATCTAAAATAAAGTTTTAAAGCCAGTGACTTATTTCCGTAAACCAATAATCAACTGCCTTTAAGAGCTACTTAGTTCTTGTAAGTTATACTGGTATTTTAAAAACCTTCTAGTTGTCTTTCACACTCAGTATTAAGCACAAAGAAATGGAGCAAAACAGTTTTCCAAGGCTTTAAAGAAGTCCTCAGTACTCTAAAGCGAGCAAAATACTGTCCTATTAAGTTTGAAAAGATCTGGAATACAAGTCCTATGCAGTTGGATCTCACAAGTAAACCTTCTTGATAATGGGGTGGGGACTGGGGAACAAGTGGAGCTCATCCTTATTTTAAAAACAGGGATCAGGAAAAACATTTGACTGCAACTATCTCATATGCGCTGGAAAGGTATCGAGACAGAATCTCTTCCGACATTCCCTCTGACTAGGAAACACCCAATGGCATAAAATGCGTATATATATTAAAAAAATAATTTTTTTTAAAAAAAGTTAAGCTTAAATAATTAATAATCTAATTTACTTAGTTTGAACTAATTTGCATTTTAACCCAAGCACTTGAACAGTTCTGTGAGTTTCTCAGGGTGAGTATGCTCGAAATACTCTACTAAACTGGTGTTTACTTCAAATAAAGTCCTGTAGTTGTATCATGCTCCTTTTATATAATTTTCCATTATTCTCAATTGAGCTTTTAGGAGGAGTAGAACAATTTTATTCACTTCAGACTAGTATTTGGAATTTCATGTCACTTTTAAAATAGGAAAAATATCTGAATTGTAAAATAGCTGATTATTAATATTTACAGGCATTAATATTTTCTAAGTTATCTTTTTTTTTATAGACTAGAAGATAACTCAAATTGCCAAACTTTAATTTTTACAGTAAATACTAACAAGTACAATCAGAAAAAAAATGAAATGGAAAACCTACAGAAACAAACATAAACAATTAAAAGTTACATGCAGAAGCAAATAATTTGTCATTGATGGAAAGGGCTTTCCTTTCTTGCTAAGATTCACAACTCTTATAATTCATACTCAGTGTGAAGTTTTAGGGTAATATATGTAGAATTAAAATATATATTTACAGTAATCCTAATAAAGGATTTTCAAGAAGAGTTTGACAGCAGTTTGGATCAAACTTAGCAGACTTCAGTACTCAAATCATTCAAGCAGATTAATATATGTTTCTAAGTACTTTAATTAAAACCTGAAAACTGCCTGGCTTTTTAACTTTCACTTTTGTTCTTATTATGTTTTCTAGCTTATCCTAGAATTTTCCAGTAACCTCACTCCACATGTGAAAATAAGGCCCTGCAGACAGAAAGATCTGAGGCAACTAAATGCTTTCAAAACCAATGAAGTTTCATCAAAGGTTTGACCTAAACCAACACATCAAAAAAACTGTCTTAAGGGCTAAAAGGAGTTACAGCAAAAGTTAGTGATACTTCCTATTGAACACACTGAAATTTTATTATTTTTAGAACACTACACTTTTACCAAAGTCTAAGCTCATCTACGCATCAGTACACCCTTAATGACTTTTGAAAACCTTGAAAGCATACCTTATTAAAAAAAAATAAAAAGTAATGATGGGAAAGAAGTATAATTGTTAGAACACATTATTCTGGTTCATATGAAACTGTTTTAGAACCCCTTTCTGTTAAAAGTATCTCTTTCCTTTTGTTTAAAGCACCAATTGCAATGTAATAGTCTGGTAGAAGTAAATAAAACATACTCTTTCCTGCATACACTCAGGCACTGACTTTGCCCAATTTTTTCATTTTAAAAGAAAATGTTCACTTTTAAAATTCTCGGTATTTTTAATTTTTCATCTGATCGGTGATATAACTATACATAATCTTTGTCCACATACTTAACACTGAAATAAATTAGTTGATAAAAAGACTAGAATACTGCAGGATAGGAGGCATTCTGGTCAAAAGGAAGAGATTAGGAAATAGCCCAGCTATTCTTCCACTCTCATTATGGAGTCCTTTGCAAAAAAAAATCCAAAAGCAACCAAAAAAAGGTGTTGCTTTCTAAAAATACAGGAATTCCATATTTAATTCACAAGCAGTTTATTTTTACTTATGTAGTCAAATGTATGTTTCACTGTTTGTGTGCATATAAATTTATCTAAATCCTGGGCACTTACTGAAGGAGTCAGTTCAACTGCAGTTGAACATTTCAATCACACTTTGCACAGAGCACATTCTCATGAAATCTGTATGAAACAAATTAGTGCTGCCATCTAAAAGTTTATTCATAACTAAACTTTTCTCCATTGCATAAATAGGCCAACACTCCACAAAATAGGTGTCTGGATAATTTACCCAAAACAAGCAAGAAAAACACCCAGCAAACATTGTTTGCTTTAATCAGTCTCTTCAAACCCCCAAAGCTGTGAGGAATTATTCTCAACTAACATAACTAGTTAAATTTGCATTACACTGCTTTTGGATGCTCTAATGAAGTTACCTGTCATTAATGATCCAGTTCAGACACAGATTGAGAGAATTAAGGTTTTTGCATCTCCTTACTATTTCCATCACGGTTTCATTATCCAGTTCTGTGATATGGCGTAGATCCAAGCTCGAGAGGTTTCTTAGCTATTGAGACAAATATGAGAGAAAGAAATAATCTGAAATTTATTCACATACATAACTGCTGAAAAGATTTGGGGTTTTTTGGGAAGTTGCACAGTATGAGCAAGCTAGTTATGAAAGATATGACTACTATATTTTTTACAAAAACCAAACATACCAGAGATATTCATAGAATTCAGTTCAAGTAAAGTTGTGATTTAGGAACACAGTAAATACATAAAATCCAGACACTCTCACTCAAGGTGCCATTCAACCTACAAGAGCCTAGGCCTTCCTCCTCCTCTTAAATATATGGAGTATAAGATACCAAGGTAAAATATCAACTCATGTAACCATAAGAAGGCATGGAAGGAAGCAAGACAGCGTGTTTGTGTTTAGATTCAAATGAATGCAATTAGCAACTCCAGATAAGGCTTCAAAATAAACAAATAATGCAAACACCCTGGAAAATACAGTATTTATACTGTAGTCTCACCTGCACAGTTATCAATAACAAATGTGATGCTCCGAACAACAAAACTTGGAGTCACAGAACAAAATAATTGAGTTATGCACTGATTAAACTGATTTATTACTAGTGTTAATCATTCTTGTGTCCTTCAAAAGCAAACCCTTTTACAACTTCTATGACATATACGGAGGCAAAAAAAAAGTTTTGCATACTTCTCCACTATCAGTTTAGTCATAATAACATCCAAGTACTGTTTTCTTTTTAAGCTGTCTGAAATAATCTCTGTAATATTCTGGAAAAATAATTGCATTAGGCAATATTGACACTTCAATTAAATTTACTTTCCCTGTAAGAGAGAAAAAATGATCCTCATCAGTGATTTAAGTCACTAAGGATTTAATTAGGTAAAGGCATACAACTGAGATCACATAATTGGTCATAATTAATTAACTTGGTCATTAATTAACTTCAATAGTTAATTATTAAGTCAGTGTATTTAGGGCAGGGGGGTGGGGAAAAGGTGGCAGCATGGGGTAAAAAAAAAAGAAGAAAAGGAAAATAAGAGCACTTCAAATGTAGGTGGCCTTCTACAGAAACTGGAGTTGTGTTCTATAAATTTATAACAGTCTCCAAACAAAAGCTGAAGATAATCTACATACCGTTCCCAAAAATTCTGCAAAATGAGCATAAAATCAAGAACCCTGACCTCTGAGGAACACCTGCAGAGTACATCTACATGTAGGACCTCTAGACAATCTAGGACAATTATATTTCTGTTGTTATGATACTCCCACAGGTATCACTGTAGAGGTAACTTGCTGTATTCCCACTGAAAATCTGATAAACTTATTTGCCTATTAGGGGGCAGAGAACATAGTGATTGATACTGTGTTGGTAAAATAGACATCTTTTACAAGCTCTGCCTATTCTTATTTCATACATACTGCTCTAGCATGAAGTTTAAATGCCTTATCTTTTATGTGTCCAAAATAAAAGATCATAACCAATCTCTCATTTTTTCCTGCATAAATTACAAAAAGGGGAAGCTCACAGCAACTGTAAATTTCCTCACCTTTGTACAGCTATTCATCTTAGATATTTAAGCCTTTAAACCATGCAGGCAATAATGCGGCCTATGCCTACAACATACAAAATACACCTGCTGGCCAATTCAACAATGATTATGTTCTACGACATTGAACAACTAAGGAGACTTAAATGACAAGTAAAAAATATTCATACGTTAAGAAAATCCCAAACTTCCTTTCTCAACAACATTATTCCTATGAGTAGGCGATAATATTGGTGACTCTTTTGCCATTATTATTACTTGTGGACTAAAACCCATGAATTTACACTGAAGTAGCAATGCATGGAGAGAGGTCAGTGCTCCCTTAAAAAGTGCCTAAAAAACATGGCTTCAAATTAGGTAAGAGGTAACAACAGTTTACTGTTTACCTCAATGATGCAATGATGAATGCAGCAGAATGCATTTGTGGTTTCCCAGGGAAAAAAACTTTGGCATTGCATGGGTGGAGTCAAAACCTAAACTGAACTCCTAGCATTCCCATCTGCCAAATTAATATGGTTTTCAAGGTAGATTTTGTCCTTTACCATCACAGAAGAATGATTGCTTTTTTCCTTGATATTAGTAACCGTCTATCATTATACTCAATATACCATAACTGAATCATCACTTTCTTTACTGTCACATTCCTTCATTTTAAACACCTGACCTACTTGGTGGTTAATTTTTTTTTCCTCAGGCACAACATACCCAGTGAAGAAAACCTTTGTGTCTTAGAAGTTTGAAGAGACTGCTTCAAAATTCATACATACTCAAGTATAATTTGGTCTCTACAACCTTGAAATTACCATTGCAGAAGTATCACTGGCTTCCAAGACATGCAGAACGGAATGCACACTCCCTCTGGAGACAAGTTTGGATCAATCTGAATATGGCACTGAAAAGAATACTTTTCTGCCTACTTAAGTCATATATATATATATTTAATGACAAATTTCCTATTTTATATCTTACCTGAGAAGTAATTTTAGGGGGAAAATGCTACAATGATATAATTATTACTGTAAAAAAACTAGAAGAGAAAAATACGTAAATCTTACATTTTAATACTAATCCTCTCAGCTAAAAGCAGTATGATATTAAAAAGAAAAATAAAACTTCTCCAAAGTAGACAATTATTAAACAGATGCTAGACTCTACAGTGCATTCATAAATTCTGAGATTAAAATAGTGTATAAAATTAAAATAGTGTAAAAAAGCACTTTTTCACCAGAGAGAGGAAATTCTGTGACTTGAATACTGAATCATACAGAAGGCATAATGTTTCTCCTTTTGTGTTTGTTTTTTTTTTAACCAAAACTATTTTTGCTCATGCAGCAACACCATTTTACTGAGCAATTTCAAGGCCCCTCTTCTGCAGATAACCGAGATTTTCTTGAACTCTTAATTTTATAGTTTTGCAAATAAGCATGCACAAGCAGAATTTAAACTTTGAACTCAGCTATGTCACTCAAAATGTTTTAAAGGAAAAAGGAATATTTAATGTGACAAAACACACAAAGCAAATAAGTAGGCAGAGGGCTTAAAGTCTGAAACAGAAAATAACAGAATTTTTAAAAAGCAGCAACACTTAAACAGGTTTTGTGCGATACCTATGAGCACATTCTTGCTGAAATTACTGATTATTACCCATTACTTTTGGATCACAAATATTTTAAAATGTGCTAAAATCTTTGGGGTTTTTAAATACTTTTGTAATTTGGTTTAAATTATATTTTATGCCAACTGATATATTTGAAGATTCAGAGATTATCATACTGTTTGTGTGCCTGAATGTCAATTAATATGATTTCTACCTTGACTACTGAAACTTCGAATATTCAAATATGTGCAGTGCTTTAGGTGATAGAATATTACTATTTCCACTGGGATCATGGGTTATTTAAGCGTGGGTGTATCAACTTCTGTGAATATTTATATGTTATCATATTGGAATTGCTAATATAACAGGTACACAATTTTTTTCCCTTCCACAATTCCTATAGAAATACACTGCCTTAAAAAACACAGATGAGAGCAGAAGCATAGAATCATTTAGGTTAAAAAGAACTTTAAGTCAGAGCCCAACTGAAACCAAAAGCTTCCAAGTCCACCACTGAACAATTCATGCAAGATTAATCCTCTTCAGTATGACAGCCAAATTATTTCTGAAAGAAAGTGCTTATAAGGACTTAATGAGCTTTAAACTCACATCTTTTGCTAATTAAGCTTAATTTTCTTGACACTCTCTGTATATACATGCCTTCAGGGAATAAACTGCTCTCTGACTTAAGTTTCCCAAAGTAAATATATGATCGCAGGAAATTAAAAACAGCAACATGAAAAAAACTGTAAATCACTTTCTTTTTACCATAATGTCAATAGAATCTATAAACTATTTTTTAAAGTCACATGCATTCATTTTTACTGAAGAGCTGCCATAACTGAACTACACAATTGAGATATGCTGTCATCCTAGAACAGTAATCATATATGGCCTAAAGAACTGGAAAATGATTGAATAGTTACAAAGGAGACTATTTTCCCCTAGACTGATTAAATGCTTTGCATATTAATAATTTCAATTCAATTCTTTGTACTGTGAAACATTATGGTCCAATTGCTTAAGTAACAAACACACTATCAAAAATTGTGTTGTATGCACCAAGATTTAATTACCTCTGGAGGAGGGACTTGCACATACATATAAACTCAACTGCATGTATAGTACCTGTGTTACAATATTCATTTCCAGTTTATAAATTCCAGAAGTCACTGCAGAATTACGTATTTGCTGACTCACAGTTTACATTTTCATATTATTTACTGTCAAGTACTTCTAATTAATTTTTTTGGGGGTAGAGGGGAAGTGGAAGTTTCATAGATCCAACCTTTTCAACCATGCAGTCTTCTCTGCAAAGTATTTTTTACCTCACTGAAAGAAATGGCAGTTCAGTGCAACCATCAAAATCTTTAAAATAGCAACCAGAATCTCTTAAGAAGAATACAGTTAACTTCATTCAACAATATCATCAGGCTCAGTTTGACAAGATGCTAAAACGTTCACTAGCACAGCACTGTATCAGTTAAAGTTTCAAGCCAATATTCATGAAGACTGCCCCAGAATCACTGTATTCAAAAACCCTCACTTAATGCCTTTTTCCTGTGACTGGAAGACTAATATTTAAAAGCACATATTACTAAAGGCAAACAGATTGAAATAAATCATATTCCATCTTATGAAATCCAATTCATTATAATAATTGATTAAAATACTGTTTTCTCTGTACCTAGCCAAAGAACAGCAATCATGTCCTTAGTCAGGAAGCTGAATGATTCTAAGATCAGAAGATATGCTGAAATACTGCCATAAAAAGAGCATAAAACAGAACTCTTTGTGTCAAAACAAATAATTTACTAGAAACAAACCGTACATTATCCCAGTTCAGAAAGGCTCTTTCAAAATCAGTCCTGTCATGTGTAGATTATCATTATGTATCTGTCATTATGATGATGTCTACACTGAAAGAGCCCTAAGAATTTGTTCCATACATCTGAATTGAATTGACTTTATACTGACCACCAACTCAGACACAGTTGCATTACTAAGTTGGATTGGACATGAGTAACTATTATGAGATGAAGAAAAAGTGAAAATCACATTATTCCAAAAATAGTTCTTCGATGAACTGTCTTCATGCATTGGTGGTTTGCAGAAAAAGTCAGAAATTTTTTTCTGTCGAGGTTCTGTACAAGGATTCATACATAATTAGATGTCTGTAACAAACTTTACCAGACAGTCTGTCAGAAGTACATGGTGTAGAAGCAGAGTTGTACAGCTACCAAGCAATTACCCTTGCATATATATCAGAAACCAAAAGAAGCAGCCAAGGAAGAGGCTTGGAAATAAAATTATATCTAGATGTCAAGATTTGCTGATGCCAGCTGTTAAAATTCTATTAGAAGTGCAACAATTAAACTGCTGAGAAGCAATTACGACAACAGGGGAAGAAAATGCCACTGCTCTTGAGGTCAAAGATGTACCATTAAAAAATCATTCCTTCACTAGAAAGAATACGAAGTTTCTTATCCTCACACAGTTAATGAACAAAGATTACCCTTCTGGTTGCTCCGTCTTCCACACAATCATCTAAAGTGCACAGGCACTTTTCACGTTTTTGTTATCTTCACACTTACGGGAGAAGCAAAGTGAAAAACAACTAGGGTTTTTCCCTAAATAATAAATTCTTGAGAGACAAGGATGTGTGGAGTGGAGAAAGAGTGCAAACAAGAAAAAATTATACATGGAAAGCTAATTAAATAATAAAGTAAGTTATAAAAAATATATAACAAGAAAAAAGTAAGTGGTGATGTGGTAAAAACAGAAGATAAACTATATCACTATACATGTTCTTCCCTCCTCCACAGAAACAACATTGATTAGTGTTGATTAGTGTTGGATTGAATACTCTGATGTCAAGGAGGAGGTCACTCACTTCCTTTGTGGCAATGTTTCGCACATTAAAGCTCTAAAGGAAAATGAAACGTTCAGGTCATCAAAACAAACAACTGGTTTCAACTGAGAGTCTAACTGTGAATTGCATATAAACACACTCCTGTTTTCCCTTTCTTCCTGTGTATGTACATGAAGTGCCTCTCATCTTACCCAACAACCATTATTTACTTTATCTGTATTTTTTTTTTCAGTTTATAATAACTTTAAGGAAAAAAGGCACCAGTGTGATGACATGGTCTTGCTCAAAAAGCAACATTTTTTTTTTAACATCATTCTGTTTAGTAGAAAAATAGTGAAAATGAACCCTGAATGTTTCTTCTTTTTCTTAAGTATACAACACTTTCTCTTCCATACCCTACAATTAGCTATTAAAAAAGCTCTGCAAGGCAGCGGCACTGTAATTTAGCATTTTTCAAGTGCCAGTATTTTTAAAGAGAGCTAACATTACTGGGGGGAAAATACAGTAATAATAAACCACTCAATTTTTATACATCCATCAGCCCCAAAGCAATTTCACAACCGAGGCCACTGCTGTTATCTCCAGTTTGCACACAGGAAGCAGGACAGAAGGCAACCAGCTCTGCACAGCCTGGAGGGACACACTCACAGGCCACGAGAGCAAAGAGCAGATTCCATATTCTCTAGGAACACCAGACTGGAATTACTACTAAACACTTATGAAACACCAGTTAAGTACTCAAAACCAACCACAGAAGCGCACAATGGTTAGAACAAAAAATTATGTCATCAATAGAAGAATTCTGGGAAAGACAGATGCAGCAGATAACGTTACTACTTGATAGAGGTCCTTCTAAAATGCCTGTCTCTATTTTTCTTAGAAACCCCTTTTAAGTACCGAAAGGCTGCAATAACCTCGAGCCTTCTCCAGGTTAAGCGATCCCTAACTTCCAGTGTTATCACATCACTGTCTTAGCAATATTCACAGCCTACAGAAGTTGTACAGATACAGCTTGAGGGAAGGAAACTGAAATACCCAAATCTCAAGTCCCAACACGCACCAATTACTTGGTATTTTACAAAGTAATTACATACCAAGAGTCTAAGCAGACTCTTAGATGTTTTCTGACAGACTAGGTTCAACAGGGTCGCGCCAACGTAAATTAGGATTTCTAATAATTTATTATTATTAAACATGTGAAAATCAGAAACACATATTAATAAAAAGTCAAGATCTTGACTCTTCTTCAATCTAATAAATGTGAATATAAAGATTTTTGTTGAAGGATAAGACATCTAACCTCTATTAAATACTCAATAAAACTAGGTCAGAATAATGTAACAACAAAAACATGGAGCTGAAAAGTGATCTTTGTGGAAATTTCCCACAAAGCCTTGGACTACATACCCTGTCTGTGTTCAGTTTTTAAATTTGTACCTCCTGTATTTATGTTGCATATATAAACATAACCTATAGATATACATATGTAGTTTTCATAGGATATGAAAATAATTGTATCACTTCTTTCTCCAAAAGATACACACACCTTTTACTCATCATACATAGTTCATACAAAATACAATAGTATTCAATACATAGTTCTTTCAAAACAACATCCTTTGAGGTCCTATAACTTTACAATATAAATTTCTCTGGCTTATTTCTTTCTGCACATGTTCCAAAATGTTCTCAGTTTTTCCGTAGCTTCAGCTAAGCAACTCTAAAATGATGACAGTAATTTACAGATATGCTAAATGGTTCTATTTAACAATGGGAGACCTTCACAGATGTATCAAAACACCTTTGCTTTCATCAGGCACACTCCATTTTCATTAAATATGCTCTCTACTTCCTACCTCAACATCTGTTTAACCATTTTCATGTTTGCATGCTCCCTAGATTTCCTTTCACTTACAAGTTAATGTACAGGGGGCACTGTTGCAACCACAGGTCTGTCTAAATCTCTTACAATTAAAATTTTGCATTTTAAAATGGAACTTTGTTTTGTTTCAGATGGGATCAGCTGCAATTGTGCATTTTAAAGAGTTTTGACCTGAACATCACTGTTACTTGTGTGAAAATGTATAATCCCATAAATATATTTTTGGTACAGTGTTTTTATACAGTGAAATCTAAATAATGCAAAGCTCAGTCATGTTTCTGTCCATGTCAGTGCTATAAATCATACTCATAATCTTATCCTGGCTGATATCTATGACATGGCTATCGTCCAATACACTAATGACTAGCAGAAAGTAGTTCTGATACTTACATTGGTAAGGTGAATGACTCCTTTTGAAGTAACAGAGCAGCCCATGAAACCAACATACTGCAGCTCAGGGCAATGTTCAGCAAAAGCTTTCACTGACTGATCTGTCACCTACAGAAAAGATAAACAGGCAGCAGTTGAATATGTGATATAAGCACATACTTAATACAGTTTAAGAAATTTCTACTCTACACTGGCAAGTGACTCATTTAGACTTTTAGTATTATTATTACCACTACTATTACTTATTTCAAGAGTTTGAGAGTAAACACTGGGCATCTGCAAGGACATATATGCATGAAAATTAGGAAAAATATATTTTATGCAGAAGGCAGAGAAAAAAGAAACACAAGGTAAGAGATGATAGCCACAAATTCAGATCTTATTGTCATCCTATTTATGTGCAAATAACCCAAGAGACAATTCTATCCACTATTTTTATAAATTATATACAAAAATAAAAATATTAATAAATTTGTTATTGTCATCCTGTAGACTCATGCTGTACCCATCATTGACTCTGCAAAGAATTTGAATTGTATGCTATCCTAAATTTATATGCCTTGTCTTATATTTCTTTTTAACTAAAACACAGCAATTGAAGACCTCAACTTAAAAGTAGTATTACATCTGTTTCTCACACGAGACTAGGAAATCTCATGGCAATACACCGTGTCAGTTATCAGCCAAATGGACAAGTTATCCAGCTTACTATTGAGATTTATTTATTTATACAACTATTCTAAATCTATAATTATAGTAATTATAATTATAAAATATTAAGTACAAATATAAATTATATAAAATATAATATAAACATTTAATAATTATATATAATTATTATTAATATATATTATATTGCTTTGTAAGTAGACTAAATGATCAAAAGGAACTTTGTTAAGAATGTAATACTGACATAGGTACACATACGACACCTACATACATTCCTTTAAACAAGTATGGTTTGGTTTTGTCTTGTTTTTCTCTCTGAAAAGTATATATTCCCAGTGCAAATGGCAGTAATGAAAAACCCTATACTGACTGTGGATGAAGCCTGTATTTTCCAGCTGCACTTCTCAGGAACATCAGTGCCTGGAATCCTAACTCCTGAAAGCTGAGAACATTTAGAATTTTTATGGATGTCTTCCTGTTACCACAGAACTGAGAAGCAAAACAAGTTTTGAAATACCTAGCTCACAGCTGAGCCTCATATAGGAACATTATTCCTGCTGTCCTGTGGATCACCCAGAGTTCCAACTTGCCAATGTGTCACGTTCCTGCACCTTGGCAGCATATGGTGACCTTGGTGAGGACTCTGGCAGAACAACTTTTGAAAAGATAACCCAGAGATATGGGTTTATAGGCCCACTAACCACATAAATGCTGTATTGCTTTGGGGTTGCTGAAAATTGTTATAGACCTAGTGCAGTTTTCTCAAAGCAACAATTTCTCAGTGAGCAGAGATTTTTATTGCTGTACATCTGCCAAATAAAAGTAAAAGGCAAGCCTTTTACTATTGTGTATTTAGAACCTGATTAAACTGAAAACAATCCAAAAGGAAAATAAAAATGCTCAGGTGAACAGATTCAATCACAAATTGTGTAGTGGGGTATCTGCAGAGACCCATATCTCAGATCTGCCGTCTTGAACAAAAGCAAACCACTGTAGTAAGAAATTTCTTCTCTGATTTGATCTGCCACAGCCTTACATTTTATCTTTGCACACTCCTCACAGCTAAGGACAGCTACACCAACCATTACTTTTTTTGAGATACTGATTACCAAAAACCTGTAACAAATACTATCACAAGTCAAAGGCTTAGAAATTTGCAGCATGTGTGATGCTACCAGCACCAAATCAAGGCTGGGGAAAAAAAAAAAATTATTTAGTATAGAAAACAAATTAAAAACTCTGACAAAGAGAATGATCCTAGAGAAGGACTCTATTACAATCCTGGTCTGCCCTCCCTACAGAAAATTCAAGTGTAATTCTCTGTTGCAGACAGGTTTGCTGTACCTATCAAGAAAATGTAGTAATGAAAAATAAATAGCATAAATGCTAATAACACCAATTCATTACAGAGCTTAAAACTTCAATCTACAAATAATTTCTACTTATAGCTAACATTTAGGTGCATGAGGACTTCGAAAAATGACATTTTGAATGAAAATAATAGAATTACTATGTCTTAAAATATCTTCTTTCCATACTGTATTTTCTGTAATCTAAACAAAACCTTTGGAAAAAATAGTTTTGGCAAAAATTAATAACAGTAGATTATGACCATTTATATTAAATAGTTTACAGATTAGCAGTGAACCTTTTCAGTCCTTGTTAGATATGCAGCACCTTTTTAATCAGAAAAAGATTCTTCATTACCTCTGTATGCCATGCAAGCCTCACGATTTTCAAGTCAAAAGGAGTGTGACATAACCTGATTATGCTTTACAATTACTGTGATAATTTAGACACATATTTTGCTACTGCAAATAACCATTTGTTCTTAAGTCTTATAAATAAAAGAACAGTTTCTATCTTTTGCTGTCAGACAACAAAACTCCACTATCTGCAGAAGATGACTTCAACTTTTAGTGGGAAACACTGTAAAATTATCTCCATCAACGCTGTACCTTCCTCTCAGAAATTTTTGTTATACCAATATCTAGGAACTCATCACTTATTTTTCAGACCCTATGTCATTTATAGCAATTGATTTTTTAATAACATGCTTCCCATTCAGACAGACTGTAATGAAGACCACTTGATACTCTGTTTGGTTAAACACTTCTAATATGACTCCACTTTCCTATGACTGTATTAGCTGTGAAGGAATATATGTTTATGTATTTCTATATTTACATAAACATATACTTGCAACTTCACTAAAATGGCTTCTCCTCAGATGAATATAAGAGACTATGCGTAGAAATAACAGATCAAAATACCTGTAATCTAAACATCTGCTAAAAGGTTAAAAGGTAAAATTTATATTATGTCTTATTGTTCTTTTTTTGCAGTGTTTGGGGAAAACAAGAATGTGAAGTAATTTGGAATTTATTTAAAACTTACATGTAAAATGATAGTCAAGTAAAATTACCTAGTCTTCACTTAGAGTAACAAATAATTAAATCCTATCTGTCCTTATTTATATGTGGCTCAAAACCATAATGACACAAAGTTTGTATGCAGAAGTTTGGTGTGTTTTTCGGTTTTTTTCATCAGACCTATTTGTATCAAGGACATAAAAGTAGGTAAAATTCAGCTGTACCTGAAAGGGTGATCAGACACTGGGATGGGCTGCCCAGGGAGGTGGTGGAATCCCCATCCCTGAATGTGCTTATGAGAAGACCAGACATGGCAATCATGGACAAAGTGTTTGGTCAAAGCTTGGACTTAGTGACCCTCAAAGTTTTTCCAACCTAACTCATTCTGTGATAAAGAAGCAACAAAGTTGAAGTTCAAGGATGATTGTACGACTGGAAACATCTATTTTTCTGCTTAACTAGGTTTTCTTCTTCTCCATCATCTGCAGTGTCCAGTATTGATGGTTTCTGAACAGACTTAAACTTTTGTATTTAGCTCCAACATGCAGCCTGGGTCACTATTTCTATCAGAGGTGGGTACCAGAAATATTAACTTCTTTTACTGTATGAATGTGCTTGTAAGAGATGGTCTATTCAGCAGAATTAAAGAAAAATAAGTGAGTGATGAAAAAAAAAAAAGCATGGAAAATTAGCAGAGATGCATATGCAATGATTACCCACCATAACACTGCCTCTTTGTTTTGTAATGTGTAGCTGTATGTTAAATATTCACCACTCAGGTGGCAGAACAGGTACATAAAATGTGTACTTTAAATATGGCTTCTGTGAACTAACAAATTTTTAAACAACTGACATTCTGATGTATTATACAAACAGATTAGACTAGCATAATCTGAAACTAGATTACCATAAAGAATATATTGCAGTTCTACAGAAATGACCCTTGTCAACAAAGACAAGAATTCACACACAATATTTATTTGTATATTTCTATACAAATAAAAATTATTTAATTTTTAATTAAATAAACTAATCAAAAACTTTGTATTTTATTAGAAAATAATTATTTTCTATCATAGATCACAGTACTGTTCTTCCAAGAATCTTTAGTAATTGGATTGTCTAGTCGACCTTCATTGACTTTCATTCATCCTGTCTTACTTCATGTTAGTCTTGCTTTGAAAAAGTAATATAGGATGATGAGGATAGATTTATAAGTTATGCACTAAAGCATTGTGAATGGGAAATACACTGGTCTGGAACTAATGGCACAGATTTTGCTCCTATCAAAAAGATCTATGATAAGTGAGATATGATTTAATCATTTTCTTTTTATGTATTGCAGCCTATTATATATGAATTCCAGTTCTGCATTGTTCTACAGAAATTCAATATTTTGTCTACTCTGAATTAGATTTTGTAAGTATTAGTTTATTTTATATTCTATTCAATAAATGAAAGTGCAAAAAGGAAAAAGCAGAGATTATAATTCAAAAAGAAAGACTGAGGTACAACTTAAAAGCCACTCAAATTCCAACTAAAAAGCCTCACAATTAATGAACACCTACAGAAGTTGAAACAGAAGTAACTGAAAAAGAGATAGGAATATAAAAAGAAACTGGCACAGAAAGAATACCATGTTCTCTTATTTAAACAGGTGCACTGCACTCTCTGTAAGTAGATCTTAATACACACTTCTTTACATGCAATATATATCAATAAAAGTTGCAAAAACACGTAAAATATTCCTCAGAAGAATAAACTCAAAGTATATGTCGTGTAAATAGAGAATCAGTCATGAAGGTAAGTATTCACTACACATGACAATACTAATGGTAGAAAACACCCTTTTTCTCCCAGTTCCTTATTCCATAAATTTTTTCTCCATCTTGGTTGGATAACAGCTTAAGCAAACTCTATATAGACACCAAAGGAAGAAGGCTCCGCACAAACCTGCTCCGCACAAAGCACATGGCTACACCCTCCAATACTGTGGATAAGGTATCACATATGCAATGTGCATTTCCCTGGCATGTCTCCCCTTGTGTGCCATGATGTGAAGTTAGG